TTTCAATAACTAATTTATTTTTGACAAAATTTGTAAACATTTATCATGTACAAAATGTTGTTTAAAATATGAATACATTATGGATGGCTAAATTGAACCAATTGGCACGTGCATCATGTCACATATTTTTCTTTGTTGTGTGTGTAGTGGAAAGGTTGTCTTTTTTGATGTTCAGTTTTAGTTCTTTATCCCATTTTCCTCTAAACCCTTACTGGCTGTGTCTTTTAACTTCAGATTTCTACTAATGGATGATTCAAGGTGATTTAGATTTTCTTTAATGTGCTCCTCAAAATTATTCTGCTTCCTGCCATTCCCTGGTCTCAAAGCCAGTTTCACATTTTAACCTCTTACAGTAGCACCACACTCCGACGTACCATGGTCTGTTTTAATAGTTGTATAATAACATTACCACAGACTTAGGCATTTGAAGCACCAGGTGTTTATTTGCTCATGGTGTCTGTGAGTTTCGTAGACTGGGCACAACTTCAGGTTCTCACAAGGCTGTGATCAACATAGAGGCCCTGACTGTGATGTCATTGGGGCTCAGCTAGAGAAAGACCTGCCCCCAAGATCATGTTGTTGTTGGCAGCCTTCAGTTCCTTGTGGGATGTCAGACTGAGGGCCTCAGTTTCTTGATGGCTGTTAGCTGGAGGCTGCCCTCAAATCCTTGACAACTGGGTCCTTCTCACCTTTTTACTTGCTTCCTCAAAGCCAATAAGGGAGAAAGTTTTCTTGCAATAAGGACATTACAATCTATGCAACATAATGACAGAAGTGACATTCCAAAATCTTTCACATATTCTGTTGGTTAGAAGCCAGTGACAGGTCCCACTCACAGTCAATAGGAGGAGATTACACAAGGTGTGAATTCTAGGAGCTGGGGATCACGGGGACCATGATAGAGCCTGTCCAATGCGTTCTCAAAGTTAAGAGTCCCAGGGCTCAGTGGTTTTTATTATGTGATTATTTGTCTTCATTGGTATATTTGCTGAATCCTGTGGTGAGGCAAACTGATGTTCTTCACAAGTTATTTTTCTTCCTAAATGGCTTGAATTAAATATTATGGTAGATTTAATGTACATGCAGTTTCTCTGTTGACATAAAAATTTAATTATAGCAGTATGGCCCAGTAGAGGGCTCATCATTTAGAGTGAAGCAAGGAGAACATAGTTCAGAAGAGGCCCTGATTGGTTCAGGTTAACAAAGATTGCAGTGAGCAACTAGCATGGATCTAACCAGAATGGAATATAATTTATGCAATTTATAATTTGTAACAGAAAGCACAATTTATTGCATGATATAGTGCTGAGAATCTAGTCCATATGGAATTATAAAAGGTCATTATTTTCATAAGAGACTAGATTTGTGATTTTAAAAAGTGGATAATTTATAGAAAAACAGTGCTGGGACATCAATTGACTTTTAAATACAAAATGAGAATAAGCAGTCATGGGCAAAATTGAAATCTTAATTATTAATGCATCATGAGATGCATCTGTGACTTGCAATGCTTTAACATAGTAGAGACACTCAAGAGCCATTTGGAAAACATTGTAGCTCATTATTTGCTAAAAGTCAGCAGCGTGTTGGGGACTAGAGAAAGGACACCAACTGCTGGCCCATTGTGTAGATATTTTATCCACAATTAATTTTAAAAACGCTTAACCAGCAGAGATGCCAAGGTAACTGACTTCCAACCTCGTTGTTTTTTGTATAGCTTCATAAGAGGGGCTTCTCTCAGGAGCGTGAGTAAGTTGGGGTGGGGGCAGGGAGCGGGTCAGAGGAAATGCTTTCTCACAATTGTGGAAGATCCATACTTACAGGCTTCCAAGGACTTTGCCTCTGAGCAGTCTCTTCCAGGGTGAATTCCTAAGTGAAAACCCAGACACAAAGACACAGAGCTAGCCTAACAATTTCTATTTCCCTCTGACCCCTCTCACTGGGGAGGCTGCGATTTCAGAGGGTGACGCCCCAGCAGATCCTGGTGTGGCTTGTTTCGTGGACTACTATAGCAGAAAGAGAAAAAAACAAGGCAGGTTATTGACAACCTTAAAATGCAGCTCAGTAGACAATTTATTAACACTGGCTGAAAGTTCCAGGCACAGGTTACCCTGCAGTAGATTTTTACAATAATAACATGCTGAGCATTTTCAGAGGTGGCCTGCTGTCAGCAAATAAGAGAAAGGATTTGTGCACTATGGTTTATTTTGCTTTGGGGAAATGGTAGCTCAGCTGCTGTGCTTTTTATTAAAAGTTAAGGGCCTTATACACATTTTTAGTAAGGTTTCCCTCTGCCTTCCATACCCATTTTTTTGTTGTTGTTTTTTAGGAGGGGGGTTGTTGAAAGCTGAAATTAGGATCAAGTTTTCTAAGAAGTCCATGCCTTTTAAATGCCAGTGAATCCGCTTAGAAATGGAGATGGCCTACTTCTCCTTCTACCCACAGTGATCTACACATAGATATTTTAACTAAATGCTGAGAGTTCTGATATTCTGAGTTTTCTTGATTTCCTCAAAATATGTTCTCTAAACAAATGTCAATTTTCTCCTGGAATACTCCATGAACCAACACACATATTAATGTTTACTTGTTGGAACTCGACACATTTGCACGTACTTCCTAAGATCAAATGATTTTCATCTGTTGTATTGTCACATTTGTCTTGTCTCTCCTATCTGGAGGCCATGATCTCTTAATTGGAAGGTCCTTTCCCTTCCCCTACTACATGTAGGAATGTCCAGTGGCCCTGAGCTCTGAGAATCAAACCCTGGGAGACTATAGTTACCATCTAAAGAGGAAAACCTTACGTTTCTGTGTTATCTTAAATGTGGAAAACATAAGCAAGAGTGATAACTGTTCAGTTCCATTGGCTATGCTCAAAAATGTAAGTTTAGACAAACTAAACTGCTTGCCCAATTGATTCTTGACTCTCTGGAGGTTCCTTCACCCACTGTATATCACCTCTCTGTCCCTGGAAGTAAGAGTGTCTTCTGCCTTCCACTTTCAGTTACAAGGCTGACTTTGGACTCCCCTGTTTTGTTTTGTTTTCTTTACAGTCACACAGTTGCCATATTGTTCTTTAACTATACCAAGCTCCATCTCCACCACTTCTTCCCCTTCTTTCCAACACCACTGTAGTTTTTGTTCTAGGTTGGAGTATCTCTCATTTGAATTGTTGCAATCCAGTGTCCTCTAGTTGCTGTTTGTTCTATGGGCTCTTCCTGCTGCTAAACTGCCCTGTCTGGGGAGATGCAGACCCCATACTGAAATATGAGGAGCTCCTTGAATCTCAGGGACTCCAGAGCATAGTCAAATGAAGCACCAGTCCTGGAGATAAGTCTGCCATCTAACTCTCATGGAGTTATTTTGTCTCTGGAGCTCTGTGGAACTTTCCTGATTTCTCATAAAGTTCCAGTTTTCTACTGTATTTGGTAAAGACAGATCATCCCACTCCCTGTTGCCTTTTTCTGTTTTGTTCTTCTCAATGACCTTTCATGCGTAGAATTCCATTTCTACCTTCCATTATTTTTCAAAACGCTGGCAGGGGTTCAGTTGCCCCATCCTGTTGGCACCCCTCAGCTTGACCTTGTTTTCTGCTTTTCACACTGTCTCTGTTCCTGAAGCCCTCACATTCTCCATGAAATTTTTCTGGTTTGACAGGAAAACAGTTCTATCTTACCAGCATTTACTGTCGGGAAACTACACTCTCCAAACTTATTTTCCTGGTGGCTGGCTACCATTTGCCCTTATTTTCAGTTCTGTAAAAGCATTTACTTCTGCATAAATAATTACAGTAATGCCACTGTGTATTAAGATAGTTTTGCACATCCTGAGCTGTGTTCATACCCCTGTGTTTCTCTTCAACTGTGAACGCCTGTGATCAGGAAGCCCCCTGCAATTCCTCTTGCATAGGCCCTGCAGGATTAAGTCTTTATTAATATTGATGACAATAAAGGTGTCTGACTTATGCCAGCAGATGGGAACCTTTGCCTCTTGTTTCTTAAGGCAGATGGCCTGGCAAGAGAGGAGGACATGAGAAAAAGTTGTGCATTCTAGTATTCTCTAGAAGGTAAATTTGGGAATTTGGGCTTCGTAGATGGACTATTAATCGCCGAGTGTGTCTCGCTGCATTTGCTGCTGTTCAGAGTAACCTCTTCCTTTCTATGATCTGTAATCTGTAGAATGCCAGGCTGTTTCCTTTTCGTTTTTTGTTTGTTTGGTTTCCTCACTTCACTTCATTTCACTTGCAGTGTTAAAAATTGAAGAGAAATGTGACTCATGATAAGGATAAAGGAGGCTTTGGCTATTTGGCTGACATTTGGCAAAATATGTAGAAGTATAGAAGTGTATTCAAACACTAAAAACTTGAACTAATGTTTGTAAAGCTATAATAATTCAATTCTTTTTGAATAATGAGTGGTCTTTTAAATTGTTTGGCATTATTCTGAGAGCCTACAAATAAATTTAAAAGTAGAACAGCCTAAGCAATATATAGCATGGGCCTTCATGCTAATCCCATGCTTTAACTTTTCTTTAGCTTATCCTAATAGAACTATGGGCTGATTTGATTCAAGAATGAGAAAGGGATTCCAAAGTAAAGCTATGCTGACTTTGTATTTGTAATCTGCTTTATCTTTCAATGTTTATGTTCAGAAGATAAATGCCCTACCTAGATATTTTCTGTATACTCTTATTTTTGGGTGTCTGTTTGAAGGGTTTTGTTTGTTTTTCCTTTAATTGGCTGCACAGGAAGATCCATCCTGCATTGTGAGTTTAGCATTTTCTTCACTGTCTGCCGCGCATCCCATTGTCTGTGCACACACAGCATGGCCAGCACCACATCTGCCTTCTGTATGGTGCAACTGCTCAAAATACAAAAAGCTCCCCCACGCAGAGCATGCCCATGGGTTCAACATCTGCCGCAGGGATGGAGATGGAAACGTTGGTGGTTTCAAGTGGCACTAATTAGTTTCCTTTTTCTTTCGGTTTCCTCATTACAGGTACTGCAATGAACATTTGCTATGTCCCCCACACATGTTCTGGACAGGCTGGGGTCCTTGGGAACGGTGCACAGCCCAGTGCGGGGGTGGCATTCAAGCTCGCCGCAGGACCTGTGAGAATGGGCCTGACTGTGCAGGCTGCAATGTGGTGAGTAGCCTCCTTCTCACACCCAGCTCACAATCCAGAACCAGGAATTCAGACTCAATACACACAAAATGCTCTGCACGCACTAGAGGTTCTGCAAACAATAAATGTTCTGCACACACTAGGGGTTCTGCACATACTTGGTACACTGCGAACACTAAGTGGTCTCACACACCAGGTGCTCTGTACATGCCAGAAGCTCTGCACACACTTTATGCTCTCCAGATACTAAATGCTCTATAAATATGACATGTCCAGACGCTGGATGCTCCCCCTACAATAGATGCTTTGAAGGTATTAGGTCCTCTCACACACTGGATCTTCTGCAAACATTAGATTCTTGGCAGACACTAGATGTTCTGCAAACACTAAGTGCTCTGTAAACACAACATGGTCAAGCACTAGATTGCAAAATCATGCAAGTTTTTCAATTTAATTAGAATATCTGGTGAAAATACTGGAAATTCAGAGTAGCTTGGAGGCTTCGTGAATTAAATATTCACACATGGGATCAACTATCCCAGGAGTTTTTCTGTTCTGATTTCTGAGTGACAAGCCTTCAGCCTGCTTGTATATGGACACTCTATTTGGTTTGGGACATGGAATATTATTCCATGCCAGGCCTACACCAAGGTATAGAACACTGTGGGATGAACCAGATACACCCTGGGGACTGAGAAACTATATGGAGCCATTGTTAGAGCAAGTTGGTGCCAATGCAGAGAGAATAAAAAAATCTGCCTTTGCAGTTTATGTTTCTTTTAACACTTTAAACTGTCAAACAAAATTTCACTTGGGCAGGCTCTTTTCAAAAGGCTTACTTTGGCTCTTCCTGCTTCTTCTGTAAGAGTAACAGCATTTTCCCTCACTTGCCTGCCCCTGGTGCTGGCTCCACAGAGTGGACACAGACAGTAGCAAAAGTTTTGATGGAGAAGCTCAGCACGAGAAGGTCTAGCTGAATTCCTTCCTCACTGATCTTTCCGGTTGGCCTTTGCAGCCTCTTTATCCTTTGGTTCGTGAGGCTGAGCAATGTTTATATGCTGCTGTAAAGCCTGCTTTTGTGACATGCAAAAACCACATAGCCGAGATATGCTTGGGAAATTCAGAGACAGGAAGAGGGTTATGAGGTGCTTTGTCAGATATTACACCAGACCCAAGGAGATTTCTGTTATTGGAAATTACAATTAGATTTCTTCCTCTTCACACTGGAAAAGATATTGTCATAACTCTCATATAATCTAGTACTTATTATAAAGACAGTTCTTTCCAGATCAGCCTGAACTAACTGTAGACTATGAGAAATCTTCATTAAGATATATATTTATTGATATTTCAGATGCTGACATTTAAAACTATTTATCTTAAATAATTTTAAAATGGCAAATTTATGAACACTCACATGTTCTAGAAAAACCATTCAAATGGGGTAACTTTCTGTTTTGCTGAAGAATGTCATGTTTTGTTCCTGGTGGCATGATGTGTGCCCACTGAGGTCTGCATTGCCATGTCGAGGTTTGTCTCATTTGCTGGGAAACCACAGGAATGGATGATCTGGGTTGATCTCACACCTTAGTTTCTAAATATATTGCAGTGTGAAAAATTCAGAAAACAGTCCACATCATTAATTTTCTCATTGTTAATTGACTTTTATAGTTACCTTCAAATATAGCTTAATGAACGAAAAAATTATATTAAGCAAGAATGTAGCACTTTTATGTAGTTACTGTAATATGTGTGTATGTGTGACATACATCTGATTTTAAATGTAAACATTGAAGGTCTTTCTAAAATATCAATGTATTTATTGCTTTATTACAGAATTACAGTTCATGAAACAAATGTAACTGCTGCTTTCAAACCCAGAAAAATACATATGTCTCCAAAGAGACTATTGTCACTTTTTAGCAAATTTAAGGGATTGTTTTTCTTTTTGTTTTTACCACCAAACTTAGCCTTTGGGTAGTCTACTTCTAGGAAGGTGTTATTGCGGCAATGAGGAGCAATCTACTTCTCATTGGTAGAAGTCTATTTATTTTTCTTCTGACGTGGCTTCTCCCATGCTTTTTGGTTTCTGTCTGTCCTAAGGCAGGAATGCCAGCTCACACCAATTGAGGAATGCAAGCAGTAGAGAGGAAGGACTCAGTTTCTTTGGATTGTTTGCAGGATCTATACTATCAGTTGAATTCCTAAGACGTTGATTTAAAAATGATAGTTACCTAGCTAAAGCAACATTTTTGGTCTTCATATTCTAGCTGCGGTTCATAAATCTTTGGCCACAAAGGGTTTGGCTTTTATTGAGTTCTAATATCAAGATAGTAGCGCTAAGTATAAAAAAAGTATTGATTTTTGAGTCATGAAGTGACCATCTGCTTGCCAGTGTGTGACTGGATAAGAAGAGGTGACACTTCTGAGTCTCAGCATCATCCTTGGAGAAGGTGGTGATGGTTTTTCCTACCCAGAGCTCCTGTATCAAGGAGGGCGCCATCCGTAAGGTCTGGCAGGTCTCACGTTTGAGTGCTCCTTCCTAGTCTCATTTCTTTCATTGTTTTCCATGGGCTTCAGCTGCTTCTCTGAACTCCATCTTATTAAAAATGGGAGTCAGCTAGTGAAATGTCATTTACACAATACAGAACATGTTTGTGGAAAGTATAACAACCTGAATTTCCTGATTATTATAACAGCTTATAGAAAAAGAAAGAATTGATTATTTCAAGTTCAAGTATGCATCGGTTAGAAAAGACTCAAGAATCTTTGCTTCTGCCAATACTTTAAAGCTGAAATTTCATGAAAGGATTTTCCCAGCTTCACTTGTGAAATTTCTATGTCCTTGTCTTAGACTAAGTCACCAAGCCTTTATCTGAATCTCAATAAAGAGGCAGTGAAGGACCCTTGCCAAGAGCTATTAGTTCTCTCCACGAATCCCTACTTGTAAGTTGCTCAATGTCGAAAGCTTGGGTAACTCCGGAGCCTTGGGTTAGTTTGGGGAGCTTATTGACAGACACAGATGGAGGAGCTGGATCTTGTGTTGTCACTTTGTGAACTTGAGATACACTCACTGCCCTCTGGGCTTCTGTCTTGCTCTGCAAAATGCAGGGCCAGACCCTGAAATTGATGATTCTGTGACCCTGGCCTTCCTTCTCTGGACCCTGACCCTGGCATTCCTTCTTTAGACCCTGGGGCACATGTGTTCCACTGATTGAGGGACCACTTCTAGCAAATGTCCCTCCCTGGTGGCTGATAGCTCCGATGAGCTCAGAATGAGACACTTAAAAAACAGATGCTTACTCCCCACTTCCAAGTAGGCTAAACCCATAGCAGCCTGGGGTCCTCTGGTCCTTGCTGCTGCTCCCCAGGTCTGTGTCTCAGCCCCTCATGCCTGTGACTTCACCGAGTGGGTGGGAGGAGCAGGATGGTGGGTCAGAGGGGCTCTGCCTCTGAGTCACTGTGAGATTTGACCTGCTGTTCTACTTCTCCACACGGTGGTTTTCAAATGAAATATGAAGCATGAACACTTGAATGACAAAGCTGTTTAGAAGATTACATATAGTACCTAATATTTCTATATATCCTAGCCCAGTGCCAAGTCTAACATAGACATTTATAAAATAGAAATGATTATCACCGTCATATGTGTGTTTCCTTTTCACCCTGTTTTGACAATAGTAACTGTAACAATTCTTGTTGGATGAAGCTTTGCAAATCCCGACTTACTAGGTGATGTCAAATTAAATATTGAAATTAAGTTATAACTACACATACTGGAGTTAATATTTAATGATAGCCCAAAATCCTGTATTACATCATAAAATAACTTTTGTTGAGTGCCTACTACATGCCATGCACTACACTAAGAGTAATTAAAATTTATTATGTTTATTCTCTCTGTATCCCTGCAAGGCAGTTTTCATTATTACCTCTGCTTGGAGATGGAAAAAATCAGCCTGAGAAAGATTAATGAACTTGCCCAGTAGCAAGTTGCCAGTGGGGGACTGGACCAGCATTTGAGAACTGGTCCTCTGGGCACAAATAGAATTTAATAGCACAACTCCATTTGCATAATTTATTTGCCCAATGTTAAGTGATAAATGATAAGCCTTACTTTTCTTTACTCCTATTTAGGTTGAAGTGTAGCTTAAAAGAAAGAGGAGCTTTTTGTCTTTCTATAGCTCTTCTCTTGATTTACATTCTTGATTTTTATCATATTGTGATCATTTTAGCCAACCATAAGAGTACTATTAGGAGATCATTCTGAGCATAGGAATTAATCGAAGATAAACTCATAACACAAATCTTAACTCTACATTTTGGCTGAAAATTACGACACATGAAAGGAAGAAAGATATAAAATATTATTTTGTATACGTAGAATTAGTTCTTAAATTGATGCAACTCAAAATTTCCTCAAAGGTTTAGCAGATTTAAATTACTTTTTTGCTATGTCAGAGCTAAAGACAGCGTCAGATACAGCAAAAAATAATTTACAAAGAACAACAGACTTAGTATTTCCAGCACTATATTTCTTACTGAAATATCATGTAAAGTATGAAACAATTGACCAAAAGCTATGATTTAAGAGAGCAACAGGAAGCATAGGGTAGATATTTATTTCCTAGATACAAAGGAACCAGACCACAGAAAGCCTGGAAAGGTCAAGAAGAAAGACATTATAATCAATATATGCTGTCAAAAGGGATTCTGTGAGGGTCAATCAGAGTTGATATAACACACTAACATTTGTTTGTGTCAAATAATGGCACAAGGGATAATCTTCAGAGCAAATGAAACCTGACCATTGGAAGTTTAAAGAGGTTGTGACATATGAAAATAATGACAGACATTACAAAATACCACATTTTTCTGTAGCACATTAGGGTCTGCAGAATGCTTTGGGGAAGGTCGTCACGTGTTTTCCTGATTTTCCAAATGAGAAAGTCAAGACCTATAGAAAACCGGTTAGGTACCCAAAAACCCTGCAGCTGGACACAGCAAGACCCCGGATCCAG